ATTCGTGTGTTTGCGTAAGTGCATTTATGGGACTTGCGAGATCATAAGGAGGGTGGCTGCATAAGTATTGTCTCCGTCCGTGTGCGCGCGTATGTGCGCGTGTGTGTGTGTGTGGTCGTGTGTGTGTGTGTGTGTGTGTTTGTGCGCGTGTGTGTATGCATGCATGTATGTGTGCGTGCGTGCGTGCGTGTGCGTGCGTGTGTGCGTGCGTGCGTCTAGGTGCGTGTGCCTGCGTGTGCGTGTGCGCGTGTGCGTGAGCGCGTGCGTGTGCGTGCCCGTGCGCGTGCGCGTGTGCGGAGCGTGTGCGGAGCGTGCGCGTGTGCGTCTGCGTGTGCGTGTGCGTGTGCGTGTGCGTGCGTGTGCATGGTTGTGTTTGCATGTGCGTGTGCGTGTGCGTTCATGCATGCATGCATGCGTGCGTGCGTGCGCGCGTGCGTGTGAGTGTGTGTGTGCGTGTGTGTTTGCATCCTGACACCTGCATTGCCCGGGTCCTGGGCGCCTGTTGTTTTCTCCGTCTGCGGATCGCCTATGTGGCCCCTCGTTGCGTGGGGAGGAGGTGCTTGGTGGAGCAATTCTTGGAATGGGGACGCGGGGCCCCCGACTTACAATTCTTTTCGTATATTCTCCAAGCTTTGTTCAGATGCCATCAACCCTTTCTGTCTTCCGGTTATGTTTCTGTTGTTTTTATTGTTCCTCCCCTCCCCTCTCCCCTCGCCCTCCCTCTTCCTACACCCCCTTTTACAGGCCCACGGAGACTCCAGTGTTCGGCGTTGCGTCGCGCGCCACCGCGGAGCAAACCAGGGGGGATGTGTCCGAAAGTCCACCCCCATCATCACTCAATTGACGGAGGTGTTCGCTCACGTCGAGTGCTTCCAGGAGCACACGACGAGATCAAAGATAGGGACCCCATTATCTCTTTGGTACGCCCACATTCGCTCTGTATTAGGTGGGGTCATCGACGTCTGTGTCGCCACAGTATCGACAATATCTCTGTTCATTCATACGTTGTGTTCCTTTCAACACTTGACGTTTGGAAAATCACCTGAAAGCAAGGAAAAGTTTAGGGTGGCGTTTCTACGGGGGGGAGGGTTGAGGGGTCCATCACCAGCAACGAGGGCATATTGGCCTCGAGCCAATGCCTCCGCATTGTTGCGCCTCGCCTTTCACGCCTGCATTGTGGACCGACGTTCTCCCCACTTTTTCCGTCGTCTCCCCGTCTCCCCGTCCCTTTCCCCCCGCGTCTGCCCCCCCACGAGTGATGGTGTAGATTGCCTATGGGCGGGTCCAGTATCCTCACGCCACGTGACCTGGGCCTCCCGCGCGCATTTCTTCGCCCGACTCAACGCCGCCGCGCCGCTACGCGTGTGGCCGCGACGCCAAAACAAGTGCGCGCGTTCGACGCGGCGAAGGGATGGGAGTGGAGGGGTGGTGCACGAAATCATACGAAGGGGCAGTTGCATATTACTTAATCGATTCGTTCATTCTGCCACCCCAAAGCAGTCCATCGCGGGTGTTTGCCCGCGTGTTTGTTCCCATTGCCGCGCTAATGGGTGGTGACAATTTCTTCGAAGCACTGCATGAGCAGTCATGGGCGTCCCCGGCAGAGGGTTCGAAATAGTTTTTCGTGCCCCCCGTTTTCGGCTCCTTTTGGTTCCACGTGGGGCCCTTCTGGGCCGTCGGGGTGACTGCATCGTTATTGTAGCTGTTTCTTTGGTTTTAGAATGAGACGACGAAGTAAAATAGCAAACGGGTGTTAAAAACACATCCGCGCAACATGTCGCAACCCAACTACGAAGTACCGCTGCATAGGGCTTTGATGGGATTGAATTCCGAGGGCGATGACACACTTGTTGACGCTTCGCGTATCCCCACCAGCCAGGACCCCCCTGGCAAGCAGCGCAGTCGTCTCCACCACCAATGTCCCGACCCGGCAACACGGTTGCGCCCTGGGCTGCCGCTGGCCCCCCTCGGCACTGGGAATCGGACTTCTGAGGACCAGGCGATGAGTGGTTCAGCCTACGCGCCTGTACAGCCTTTGGTATTCCCCCGCGCAGTGTCTCGGTACGCCAGCGGACCTCTCCGCTTCAGGGTCCGGCAACACAGTTGCGCCCTGGGCTGCCGCTGGCTCCCCTCGGCACCGGGAAGCCGTTTTCTGTGGACCAGGCGCTGTGTGGTTCAGCCTACAATGCCTGTACAGCCCTTGGTTTTCCCCCGCGCACTGCCACAACACCGCACAGCCGTTTGGCTTGTGCAGGTCGGCATGTAGTCTGGCGCCGCCCTGGCGACTTACTTCGTTGCATCCGCACATTATTCCCGGCGGCCTGTTCACTTCGGTTCGCGCTGCTGCGCCTATGTGCGTTTGCTTGTGAATTTAGTTCATTTTGTTCTGTGCACGTGCAACTGCGAGTTTGTCTTGCGGGTGCGAGCATTGTTCGTCGACGCTGGCGGCTTTGTTTGCAAATTCGCCTCGTACCGTGACCCAGACGCCGTTTTCGCTTCGTGACCGTTGCCTCGGAGCCGCCGACCAACAAAAATATCCCCACCAGCTCCGCTGCTTCCCGCACGTGTTCGTACTGTTGCCTCGGGACCTCTCGGCTACGGCCACCCTGGGAGCTGCAGCCTGCCAACGCTTCCGCCTTCCGGCGTTAATTGTTTGACCGACGGTCCTTCGGGCCACCCTGGTACTCACGCTCACGCAGTCGTCCGGGGCTTCGCCCTTGCAGCTTTCAATTCGCTCGACTGGCGGTCTTTTGGCTGCGGCCACCCTGGTGCTCACGCAGTTGCCCGGGGTTCGGGCCCACGCATTAATTCCTAGGCTTCCGACCCGGGTCGTCGTTTGTCCCGACTTCCTGGTGCTTCCGACGCCATGCATACTTGCACGATGGCAGTTCGACAAAGTCTCAATTGCCCTTGCCACCCGCCGGTCCGCCGCTGGGTTGCCGCGCGAGGCGTCGGTTAGCCGCGTTAGGCGTGGCCTGTTGCCGCTGCTTTCGCCAAACTCGTCGCTGCGTAGCCTGCTTTGACCTGACTCGCCGCCGGCGCGCTCGCCCGCGGCCGCTGACTAAAAGTACCCCCACCAACCACGTACCTGGTGTTCCAGCTCCCGTGGTACCCGCACGTTTGCAGCTTCCTGGCAGCCCCAGCAGCTTGCAGTCCCCACCTTCGGCGCTGTTTCTCAGCCTCGGCGGTTGCAGAACGGCCCCCGGCGCAGCTGCTTCCCCCGGCGGTAGGTCCTGCGTTCTGCCGCGCGCGCGCCAGCAATTCGGTTCGCTTTTAGCCCGAGCCGGCTCGACTCGCCGCTGGCGCCTTCGCCTGCGGCTGCGACAAAAAATCCCCACCAGCAACCACCAGCCCATCCAGAAACGATACCCAAGGGACTTGAGGTAATTTGTGAAGAGGGGGGGCATGCAGAAGATCTCTCGGAGACGCGTCTGATACCGTTTGGCAATTTTTGGAGGGTTCTTGGGGCGTCTAGGGGGTCTCTTGGCGGGCCCTTCTTTGAGCGTTTTGGGTGCTTCGGAGACCCTCCAGATGCCTCTTGGGGGCCTTTGGGGCGCCTCTTGGAGGCCTCTTGGGCGCCTTTCGGGGTTGTCCTGGACACCTCTCGGGACCCTCCTCGGCCGCTCTTGCGAGCTTTAGAGGCGCAATTGGGGCCATTTTGGAGGACACGGATCAAAAGAGGGGAGTTTCAAGTAGCTTCCCCCTCGGGAGCATCGAACATCGCCAATTGGACCTTTCTTGGAGCGCTCTTGGGGCGTTGTGGGGCGCTCTGGGGGCCGTTTTGGGTTTCTCCTGGGGCTCTCTTCGGCCATCTTGAGCCATCTTGAGGCATCGGATGGCCATCGGAAGCGAAAAGGCGAGAAACCAAACATCACTGATTGTCCTGAGGTGTTTGGCTGATTTGGGCTTCTTGGGGGCCTCCTTGGAGGTCTCGGGCGCCTCTGGGAGCCGTCTTGGAACATTGGGGCCTCGTGGAGCATCTTGGGAGCCATCTTGAGGCATCGTGCGCTAACTTGAGCCATCTTGAAACTCATCTTGGACTCGCAGGGGCCCTCTTGGAGCCGTTTGGGGCCATGTTGGACGCTCCAACGCGCCGCGGCCCCCCCCGTCCAGGTCCAGGGGACGGGGTAAGAGGGAAGGGGAAAAAGGGGGTTGGAAGAGAAAACGCCCAGACCACCTACGCGCAGAGAGCTGGTGGGATTTGAGCGGCGCGTTTCAGCAACTGAAGCGTAATGACATGTTTGAAACGTTTTTTATTGCAGTGCCTGGTCCGTCCTTTTGTTTGTTTCCCCTCTGCCAGTGCGGACACGGCGGGCTACTTGTTTGTGATCGTTTCACTCGTGAGGCAGAGAGAGAGATAGAGCCAGAGAAGGAGACAGAGATTTTGATAGAGACAGAGACAAAAACAGACGGACAGACAGAGACGATTGGCGCCGCAGCCCCGCAGGGCGCCCCGAGTCATTCCTGGAAAACTTGGCACAACCCGAAAAGTGGGATCGAACGGTCCGTCTGCCGGCCGCCGCGCTACTGCCATGCCGCGCCCGCATTCTTGAATGGAAATTGAGCCATGCCCATGCCGCGCGCGTGCCTTGCCTGCGTGCCAGGGCAAAAAGTGCGCCGACCGCGTGCTGGGTGTGCCGTGCGCGTGCCTTGCCTTGCTCGCTTGCCGTGCCCTTGTCGATGTTCATTCGCCATGTGTCTTCTCATGCTGCATTGGTGTTTGCCGTCTCTAAGTATGCGGGTGGAATCGACATTTTGGGGTTCGCGGCATCAGATATGACCATTTCGCGGTCTGAGGGCCACTCTGGAACAATATTTGCGCAGAGAAGGGCTCCGTGAGGGGAGAGGTATGGGGGCGAGCTCTGACGCGCTCGCGCGCTCAGCGGGGCCCCTGGCACATTGCGGAAGCTTTGCCTTGCAGGTGATATGCATTTTGACGCGCCTCGGTGTGGTGTAGGCGTAGTGGCGGTTCTTTTGGAGGCAAGGGTCTGTGGCCATTCAGCTCAAGCTGCCGTTTGCTCGCGTACTCCCAGGCACTGGTACCGCAAGCAAACATCCAGTGCGATCCTCATTGCAGCACCCCTTGGTCACTGCGCGGGATGCTGAAGGGCTGCGTTCCTGCGGGGTTACACGAGAGCCGCCGCAGAGCGCGTTCTGCACTGGAGTCGTTGCGGGCCGCGGCGCACGGAGCCCGCGGCGTCGCCGCACACGCTGGGGCGAGTGCGGGCTCGCAGGAGACTTCTCTGGTAGCGCGTGCCAAACTGGACGCTGCAGGAGACGTCGATCTCGAGCACCTCTGGAATGAGATATGGAGCACGATCGAACTTGGCCACCAGCACAGTCCCTCCAGCCGCACCTCGCCAGCTCGCCCTGCGGATGATCTGGCATCGTGCGTGACCCCCGAGAAGCGAGAGACCAAGGCAGAGGCCGACGCCAGGCGCGCGCGGGCGGGCAAGCAGCCCAAGCATGGCAGCAGCCTTGCTCTGGGCCCGGAGGCCCTCACTGTCGCGCCCTCGGCTAAGCTCAAGCCGCTAGTGTCGGCTCCCGCTACCGCTTGCCCGGCGTGGCCCAAGCCCAGGCCTGCGCGGGCGCTTGTGCGGAGCCGCAAGGTGCAGCCAAGCTTAAGCAAGCAGCAGCTGGCTGCCTCGACGGCCATCCACTACGGCGTCTTGGGGCTCCGGCGGAGCGCCTCTTTAGCAGAGGTGCGCGCGGCATTCAGGAGGCTCGCATTGCAGACGCACCCCGACAAAGGTGGCGACCCTGTCCAATTCCACGCTGTGGCGGCTGCTTTCGAGGAGCTTGAGGACCCAGACCGGCGGGCCGCGTACGACAAGAAACTCGTGCAGAGTGGTTCCACGGACGGCCTCGACGCAGCTGAAGAGCAGGTGGCGCGTTGCCCAGGCAAGAATGCCAAGAGTGAGTCCGTTTCCACCGCCGTGGCCCCCCGCGCGCTGTACGAGCAATTGTTGGATTTCCTTCCAGCCACCTGGCCGAAGAGGCTGCTCGCTGTAGAGATTCCCACGTTGAAGGCGTTGCGGGATCTAGCCGATCAGCTTCACAAGCTGCACGGCATGGCGCCAGCACACGACGAGGTGTTCGCCGCCGAACGAAGCATCCACAAGCACAATAATGGGCTCTACTCGGTGACCGTCTCGTGGTCGTCGCTGAAGGTCATGTCTGGCCGCACACGTTCGCTGGCGCAGGCGATAGACTGGCACGTGGCATTGACCAGGGTCAAGAGCAGTGCCGCGCGCAGGCTAGCGGGCAGCCGCCGCACTGGCGCAGGAGATGAGTTGATTCAGGACGAGATGCTTGCCATTCTCAAGGAAGAGCCTCACATTCAGTTGGCTTTCCAATTCACCGTACAGAGCCACGGTAGAACGGTGGTCACGCCCGCAAGCAGCAGCTTGAAGCAGGCGAAGGAGTTCCGGCACTGTGTCTCGCGGGCCACGAAGCGCACGCTGGACAAGGCATTGGGCCTCGCTGCCCAGGATGCCCAGCAGAGCAGGCGCAGCCGCCACGCACAAGGAGGCGCCCTGGTCTTGGCCCTCTGCGGCGAACTCCGCCGTCGCGCTGTCGCCGCCGCGGGTGCGGACGGCGCACAGCAGCGAGGCGTCAAGCGCGGCGCCGATGCATCAGCGCCGATGCTCGCCCTGCCGCAGCCCCTCAGGCGCCTGCGGTACAAGACATCGCCGCTGCTGGCCTTGCCGCCGCCCCCAGGGGCCCAAGTGGCGGGGCCGCCGCAGGGTTGCTCGAGGAGGGCCGCCAAGGAGACGCAGATGCCGTGCCTGCTGGTGGCCGGCGAGCCCCCGGCACGAAGCGCCGCGGGCGAGCATCTGGGCGAACAGCTCCCTGCAGCGAAGCGGCCGAGGGTCGACGGCAGGGCGCCTGCCTGCACGCCGCGGCCCGAGCTGGGCGGATTCCTCTCTGGCCCGGCGGCCGCCGCAAGGGCCGCGAGCGACGGGCCGCGTGCAGCGCCCGCGCGCTCCGTTGCCGCGGGTGACCAGGCTGGCGAGACGGGGGCCGCCGCCCTCGCGCCGACGGGCTCCGTTGACGGCATGCAGACACGAGGCAGGAGCAGGGCGGCAGCGACCGCCGCAGCCGCGGCCCTCGCGAGGCGGCGCCACTTCGTCGTCGTCGTCGTGTCGTCGTCGCAGCGGAAGTGGCAGTGGCAGTGGCAGTGGCAGTGGCAGCGGCAGCGGCCGTCGTCGTCGTCGTCGTCGTCGTCGTCGTCGTCGTCGTCGTCGTCGTCGTGCTCGCAGGCTGAGCCCCGTGGGGCCTGGCAGAGCAGGTGCTCCAGCGCAGGGGCCTCCTTGCCTCGGCGCCCGCGCGGCAGGCTCCCCCGCGGGGCTGCGCTGCACGCCCTCAGGCCAGGGCGGCTAAGTCAAACCACAGGGGTGCGGCAGGTCAGTGCCGCCTCGACGCGCGGCGACGCTGGCGCGGGAATCCAAGGTTGAGTGCCTTGTGGGGGCCCCGTTCTTGGGCGTTTGGGGAACGCTGCCCGGGGGCACGGAAGGCGCATGCCACACGACCTTCTGGGGGCCCGTTCTGGGCCCCAGGACGCACAGAAGACAATTCACGGTGCGAAGTCCATACGAAAGATGGGATCGATCTCCCTTGGGGACATCCGAGAGTTGAGATCGTTCTGTGCTGAACGTTTCGCGCGGTGTCGCAGAACAAGGCGCATTTCGTTAAGGCAGTAACTTGGCGTAGTGAGATTCGCCCCCGTCACCCGGCCCGCCAAAGGAACGGGAGGATCGCTCGGAGACATCACCATCACCAGCGTCTGGGGTGGGTGTAGGATAAGTGTGATTCAGGTGTGGTGGTGATGGTGGTGGGTATATCGAAGACGCCAATGGCGAATCACCGTCGCCCCTCGCCTTTTGGAAACGCCTATTTGGCCAAACGATGTGCCGAAGTCTTGCTGAGCCATTGGGCAATGTGTTCCCTGAGCCGCTGTGGAACTCGGAGGAGCACAGGAGGATTTGGGGTATACGTAAAAAGAGAGGAGAAAGGGAGAGGAGGATGAGAAGAAGGAGGAGTAACATGAGGCCTCTTGAGGGCCTCAGGGTTTCCTGGGGCCTCTTGGGTGTCTCCTGAGGCTTAATTGGGCCTATGGCCTATGAGGGCCCGCTTGGTCTTCGGAGGCCGTCTTGGGGGCCTACCTCTGCCGTCTTGGGGCCCTCTTGGACGTTTCGGGCCGACTTGGAGGTTTCTTGAGGGCTTCTTGGGCTTATTGGGGCCCTCTTGCCCCGTTTTGGGGCCTTTTGGGTGGCTTCTGGGGCCGTGTTGGGACACCTTGGAGACCTCTGGGGTCGTCTTCGGCGGTTGGAAGCTCGAAAAGGTGAGAGCGGGGCAACCACTGAACAACCGCTGAGAAATCACGTGATTTGACCTCCCAGAGGTCTTTTGGGAGCCCTCTTGGGACGTCTCGGAGGTCTCTTGGGCCGTCTGGAAGTCATCTTGGGCCGTCTTGGAGCCATCTTGGGCCGTCTTGAGCCGTCTTGGAGGCATCTTGGGGCCATCTTAGGCTCTCGTGGGGCCATCTTGGCCGTCTCGGAGGCATATGAGAGGCCATACGGTGCCATCTTTACCATCTCAAGAGCGCTGTTTGTTCCCAACTCTCCTGTGTTGGGTTCGCGTTTTGACTCGAGCACTCCTCGCGCGTCTCCTCCCCACCCTTTCCTCCTTGTACCTCCTGCTTTCTGCCTCCTTGCTCGCCTCTGCAGACCTCCTCCTGCATCCTGTGCGCTCCTTCGGGAGCTACGAACTGCGCAACTGACGCCACTTTCGTGGGCTCCTGGGAGGCACGGCGGAGTGCGGGGCAGCGCAGATCATTTGAGACCACGCAGCTTCCTCGTGGGCTTCGAAGTTCGCAACTGTCGCCACGAGGCACGGCTAGCGGCTCCCTCGGGGGTTGCGAATTGCGCAATTGTCGCTACTTTCGTGAGCTCCTGCCTGGGATGCACCGCGGAGTGTAGGGCAGCGCAGATCATTCAAGACCTCGCGGCTCCCTCGGGGGCTGCGAATTGCGCAAGTGTCGCCACCTTGGTGGGCTCCTGGGAGGCACCGCAGAGTGCAGGGCAACACAGATCATTTGAGACCTCACGGCTCCCTCGGGGGCTGCGAATTGCGCAACAGTCGCCATTTTCGTGGGCTCCTGGAAGACACGGCGGAGTAGGGCAGCCCAGAGCACTTGAGAACTCGCGGCTCCCTCGTAGGCTGCGAATTGCGCAAGTGTCTTTTCTTTGTCGGAGTGCAGGGCGCAGATGGTTTGAGACCTCGCGGCTCCCTCGAGGGCTGCGAACTGCGCAAGTGTCGCCATTTTCGCTCCAGCATTCTGTCTACTCAGACTAGTCCGTATTTGGGGCGGCGTTGTGGGTCTTTCTGGGTGGTCAGCGGGATCGGCCAGAGGTTCAAAGGGAATTTTTAAAAAAGGATCAAACTACCGAACGTCTGGCGCGCCCTGCATCCTCGAGGCAAGGCAGCAGGGGGTGGCGGATGACGGAAAGAGCGTTCACGCGGTTCCGTTCTTGGTAGGGCGTCAGCCCAAGGGTGGGGGGTCCAGGGGGGGGGGACGGGCGGGCGAAAATTCTAATCGCCCTCCGGCCTCTTTGTTTATCGAGTGGGATGGCCCTCTGGGCGGCTCGATGCCCACGACGGCCCAAGAGGCCCAAGAGATCGCCTCAAGGCTCCCGTGAAGGCCCCAAGACGGCCCAAGAGGGCCCAAAGAGGCTCCCAAGAGGGACCCAAGACGGCCCGAGAGGGTCTAGAGGCTCCCAAGAGAGCCCCAAGAGGGCCTCAAGAGGCTCCCAAGCAGCTCCCAAGAGGGCCCGAAGAGACCCCCAAGAGAGCCCCAAGACGGCCAAAGCCTTCCAAGATGTCCCGAAAGTGCCCGAAGTCGGCCCAAGCGGGCCCCAAGACGGCCCCAAATGACCCCAAAACGACCCCCAAAAAGGCTCGGATACGCCACATGACAGAGGCTTCCAAGAGCTCACAGTGACGTCATAAGCTCACAACACCATGGCTCCTCATTAATAACGACGGCTGGCGTAAAAAAGCTCTTAGGAGGAGGAGCACCACGAACAGGAGGAGGAGGAGGAGGAGGAGGAGGAGGAGGAGGAGGAGGAACAGGAGGAGCAGCATGAGGAGGAGGAGGGAAGAGGAGGATGAAGAGGACGAGGATGGAGGCGGAAGAGGAGGAGAAGAGGAGGAGGACGAGCAGGAGGAGGAGGAGGAGGAGGAGGAGGAGGAGGAGGAGGAGGAGGAAGTGGAGGAGGAGGAGGAGGAGGAGCAAGCAGAGGAGGAGCAGAGGATGAGGAGTAGAGGAGGAGGAGGAGGATGAGCAGGAAGAGGATGAGCAAGAAAGAGCAGAAGAAGGAGGAGGAGGAGGAGCGCAGATGTTCGATTGGTTGGTGAACAAGCAGGAGCAGAAGCAGGAGCAGGAGGAGCAGGAGTAACAAGGCTCCGAAGAGTGAGTGTCGGCGACAAAGGACTCTTGATACCAAGACTCGAGAGGCGAATGATGCCATGAGCATGTTCGAGCAAATTGCTTCAAATCTACATGAGCGTAATGACATTCGAACCGCACATGGAACTTCACATCGAAATTGGTATCCACTTGTAGCCAGAATCCAAGTCGAAATGCAATTGGAAATGCAAGTCCGGTTGCAATCGAGTTGCAAGTTCCTCAAACCCTCCACTTCCTTGTCACCCGAAGGGTGGTCTATGAGGTACCTCTTTGGACGCCTCAGGGGGGCACCCTGCGCACCTGCACCCCGCGGATCAGCGAACCCTGTACCCTCAAGTGTCGGCGGCGGTAGGCTTCTTCCCCCCCGCCCTCCGCGCCCCCCCCATCACTGAGGAGGGGCGGCCGGGGACTCATATCTTTTTGGGGTTGCCCTTGGCAGGGTTGGTCCTCTCGGGGCCGTCCCCGCTCGAGCCACCCAGCGGCATCTGAGCCAACGGCCCGCGGCGCGGGCGTTGCTGTGCGGGGCGGCGGCGCTGCTGGCCGCGGCCGGGGCGCGGGGCCTCCGGGCCCGGGCCTGGGCGGCGGGGCCGCATGGAGCGGGCAGGTCCGGCGTCACGGCGCGCGTGAGTGCTCATCGGAGGGAGGAGAGACGGCGGCACAGGCAGAGCCTCGAAGAGGAACAAGAAGATGCCACGAGCATATGAAAGCTTGTGGCGCTCCGCGCGGATTTCTTGGCTCCGCGCTGGGCCCCCGCGGCGGCGCCTCCGGCGCCGCCCCTGGCGCGCTCCGCGCGCCAGGGAGGAGGGGTCCAGCGCAGAACCAAGAAATCCGCGCGGAGCGCCAAAAATGCATGTTTATGGTGTTTTCTTCTTCTTCTTCTTCGGCGGCCGTTTCAGACGGTTCTCGGCGACTCTTCCAGCCTCGGCATGCGTCTCGGCAGTTTTACGCCCTTTCCGAGGGGGTGCCCAGATCGTCCTCATCGGCCCCTGGAGGCCCGAGGGATGATTCAAAAGTCAGACGATCGGGTCAGGCGAAGCCCAGACCACCAGCGGGGGCGTGCAGATTATCGGGTCATCACGCTTCGCGCGTCGGGGCCTGGGCCAAAGCGGCTGCCCGTTTCCAGAGGGCGGCGGCGCGAGGGTGCGAAGATGATCGCGCATCGCGGGGTGCGATGGGCGAAGTTGGGCGACCTACATAGAGATTCCGGAGGGCCGCGCGGTTTTCCTGGAGTTGCGACTTGTGTCCCTGGCGGCGCCTCTGGCGCCGCCCCTGATGCGTTTCGCGTGCCACCAGGGAGGGGGGGGGGCCAGCGACGAGGTCCAAGTAGCCCGAGCGGACCTCCGAACGTTTACAGTGGGCGCAGCAAATAAGAATCCAGCCTGCCAGCGGGTGCCCCGCAGGCATTCCTTATCCCCTGATGGCCCGTGTGGCCCGCAGAAGCCCTCGGGGCACCTCCGGAAGCCCAGAGATCGTCCGTGCAGTGGGATGCCGTTTTATTTCATATCGTCGTTTGTATTTGCTGTGTGCCTGTGCCGTCGCTTTTTCTTCCCCCAGCAGCAGGAGGCCAGCCAGGCGATGGACAGGAGGTCGCTGGCGCTGGGAGCACGCATTTTTTCGCAATGCACAAGAGATGTTGGTTCTGGCATCGAGGACACTGCTGATAATGCAACGGGCCATGACCCCGAGAGTGTTGATCTTCTGTAGTGCGGGCTTCGGGAGTGCGGAGTCCGAGCAACTTGCCAGGGCCAGCGGCCGCTCGAGCGCGGATTCTTTTGCGGGTTGCAGAGTGCTCGTGGCCCACCGCAGACAACATTGCAATTTTCTGCGCGTGGACCCTTTCTAGTTCAAGTGCTGAGCATGGCTCTTGGGGCACGGAGCCCTATTGTTCTACTTTGCATCCTTTCTCTGGGAGCGCAGCGCCAGTGCAATTTACTCGGAGCCGTGTCCTTTGGAACGGGGAGCCAGACCAAATGACCAGGAGATTTGTGGCCTTTGGAGCGCTGACCTTTCTGAACTTTGCAAAGGGCCGTGGCCATGGGAGCGCTAATCTTCAACCTTGCTAGCGATCGTTGCCCATCGAGCGCGGGCCGTGCTGTAGCTCCGAAAAGTTATAGCTTGGAAATCGCGGACGCAGTATCATTTTTTACAAGGGATTGTGGTTCTGGAAGCGGGTATCCGGCGCAGTGAGGGCTCGCGGCCTTGGAGCTTTGTTTTCAGGCATCCGGCGGTAGCCCGGGGCGTCAGGCCCGCCCGCCCGCCCGCCCCTCCTGTCTCCTCCAGGATAACCTGACCTTGTCGGTTGTACAGGTCCGCGGGGGGGTGGGGACGCAGTACTGGTGCGCGCGGGCGTGCGGGGGGTTGCCCGAAGCCACACGCTTAGGTCATCGGCCAGCACTTCCCCCGCCCCCACTGTATAATCCGGGCCGGAACGATCTCCTGGAGGCGAAGACCATTTGTAACCTGGGATGTGTCCCCGGAGGGAGATACCAGGGATCGTGGCCATTCGAGCGCAGATCTTGTTGTAATGGATGGGGCCCGCGGTCCTAGGTGCGCGGAACCCCCGAGTGCGGAGGGTTCGTCACCCTGGGAGCGCTTTTCCTCCCTGGCATCATCATCATCATCATCATCATCATCATCATCATCATCATCATCATCATCATCATCATCATCATCATCATCATCATCATCATCATCATCATCATCATCATCATCATCATCATCATCATCATCATCATCATCATCATCATCATCATCATCATCATCATCATCATCATCATCATCATCACCATCACCATCACCATCACCACCATCACCATCACCATCACCATCACCATCAATCATCATCACGATCAATCATTATCATCCTCGTCATCGTCATCATCTCTCACCCACCGTCACTCATCACTACCAATCATCATCATCGTCATCATCATCATCATCATCAGCATCATCATCATCATCAGCATCAGCATCAGCATCAGCATCAGCATCACCATACAAACTCGCATTCTCACCTTCGGGGAAGTCTCGAGCGGGAGCCTCCTTCGTATGGGGCGCGCACCTCGTGTTCGAGTCGGAGCGGGTCATTGGCAAAACCTACCACACATAGCATTTGAGCACCCCTACGGGGCAAATCATCAGGATGTCTTCAGCGGAGGCTTTATCTGTGAGTGAATTGCGACGAAGTCTCAGTCGGGAGCCCCCTCACTATGGGGACCGCACTTCCTGTTGGTAGTCTGAGCGGGTCGTCGGACAATTCTACCAGACATAGCACTTGAGCACACCAAAGGGGCGAATCGTGAGAATATCTCCGGCGGGGGCTTCGCCTGTGAGTGAATGCCGGGATCGTGCCGTGAGCGCCTGCGTGCCCGCGTCCGACGTGATCGGAAACACCCGAAGCGGTGGCCAGGGACACTGGACACGGACGGAGGAGGGTTTGCCTCGGGCGGTGGAAAGAGGCGGTTTGTCACGGAAGGAGGAGCAACAGATGGCGGTTTGCCATGGGTGGTGGAAAGAGGGGGGTGGTCTTCTGAGTAGGCGGAGGGTTTCCTAGACCCCTTGCCTTCCTAGAAAGCTTCCTGCAAGTCTCCGAGCCCTTCCAGGAAGCCCCCCGCTTTCTCGGCATGGCGCCTCCCTCGCCCCGTCAGCTCTTACCGCGTGCCGCCAGGGAGGGGTGCCAGGAGAAGCCTGACGAGGAGGAAGGCCCGATGGACCCAACGAGTCCCCGATCCGACGGGAGTGCGCCGCGGGGGTTGCCAGGCGAGCGCGGCGGAGACACTCACAATTCACCACAACACGCCACATGAGTGCACTACGCTAATGCACTACACTAATTCACACTACACAATAATCTACACTGAGACACTACACTAATACGCGACTCTACATACTACACCACTGCGCTAATCCACTACGCAAACATGTTACGCCAATGCACTACACGAATGCATTTTACGCCAACACACTACACTGACACCCTACACTAGTACAGTACACTCGTACACTGATACGCTACTCTGCACACTACACTGCTACACTACGCTAATGCACTAGGCCGACGTGCTGCGCCAATTCACTACGCGAAAACACTACACTAATACATTACACTAATACAGTACACCCTTACACGAACACACTACACTAATCCACTGCACTACTACACTACACGAGTACACTACACTAGAGCACTACACTAAGACACTATACTAATACGCGACTCTACAACACTATACTACTACGCTACGCTAACATACTACGCCGGCGTAGTAGGCCACTCCATTGCACCAATGCACTCCACGAGTGCACTCCACTAATGCACTACACTGATACACTACACTACTACACCGCACTAGTACAGTACATTAGTACACTACACGAATACATTACGCTAAGACACTACACAAATGCGCTACTCTACACCACTACACTACTACAGTACACTACGCTAATACACTGCGCCGACGTACTACGCCAACTCACGACACTAACACAACACATTAATTTGAGGGAGTTTCTGTGGAACTCACGTCATCCTCACCCCCGGCGCGAAGAGCACGAGCCCAGAGCGGCCTCCGGCACCGTTTCCGGACAGATCCGGTGGATCCGGTGACGAATCCCAAACCGGCGCCCTCGCTTGAGACATCCTCACAAAACCGGCCCCGGGGGAGGTGCCCAGAGGAGCCCAGAGCGGCCTCCGGCACCGTTTCCGGACAGATCCGGTGGATCCGGTGACGAATCCCAAACCGGCGCCCTCGCTTGAGACATCCTCACAAAACCGGCCCCGGGGGAGGTGCCCAGAGGAGCCCAGAGCGGCCTCCGGCACCGTTTCCGGACAGATCCGGTGGATCCGGTGGATCCGCCGACGAATCCCAAACCGGCGCCCTCGCTTGAGACATCCTCACAAAACCGGCCCCGGGGGAGGTGCCCAGAGGAGCCCAGAGCGGCCTCCGGCACCGTTTCCGGACAGATCCGCTGGATCCGGTGGATCCGAATCCCAAACCGGCGCCCTCGCTTGAGACATCCTCACAAAACCGGCCCCGGGGGAGGTGCCCAGAGGAGCCCAGAGCGGCCTCCGGCACCGTTTCCGGACAGATCCGGTGGATCCGCCGACGAATCCCAAACCGGCGCCCTCGCTTGAGACATCCTCACAAAACCGGCCCCGGGGGAGGTGCCCAGAGGAGCCCAGAGCGGCCTCCGGCACCGTTTCCGGACAGATCCGGTGGATCCGGTGACGAATCCCAAACCGGTCGGCCCTCGCTTGAGACATCCCACAAAACGAGACATCCTCGGGCCCCGGGGGAGGTGTCCGGCACCGTTTCCGGAGGTGACGAATCCGGTGCTTGAGGCCCCGGGGGACCCCAGAGGAGCCCAGAGCGGCCTCCGGCACCGTTTCCGGACAGATCCGATCCGGTGGAACGAATCCCAAACCGGCGCCCTCGCTTGAGACATCCTCACAAAACCGGCCCCGGGGGAGGTGCCCAGAGGAGCCCAGAGCGGCCTCCGGCACCGTTTCCGGACAGATCCGGTGGATCCGGTGACGAATCCCAAACCGGCGCCCTCGCTTGAGACATCCTCACAAAACCGGCCCCGGGGGAGGTGCCCAGAGGAGCCCAGAGCGGCCTCCGGCACCGTTTCCGGACAGATCCGGTGGATCCGGTGACGAATCCCAAACCGGCGCCCTCGCTTGAGACATCCTCACAAAACCGGCCCCGGGGGAGGTGCCCAGAGGAGCCCAGAGCGGCCTCCGGCACCGTTTCCGGACAGATCCGGTGGATCCGCTGGATCCGACGAATCCCAAACCGGCGCCCTCGCTTGAGACATCCTCACAAAACCGGCCCCGGGGGAGGTGCCCAGAGGAGCCCAGAGCGGCCTCCGGCACCGTTTCCGGACAGATCCGGTGGATCCGGTGACGAATCCCAAACCGGCGCCCTCGCTTGAGACATCCTCACAAAACCGGCCCCGGGGGAGGTGCCCAGAGGAGCCCAGAGCGGCCTCCGGCACCGTTTCCGGACAGATCCGGTGGATCCGCCGACGAATCCCAAACCGGCGCCCTCGCTTGAGACATCCTCACAAAACCGGCCCCGGGGGAGGTGCCCAGAGGAGCCCAGAGCGGCCTCCGGCACCGTTTCCGGACAGATCCGGTGGATCCGCCGACGAATCCCAAACCGGCGCCCTCGCTTGAGACATCCTCACAAAACCGGCCCCGGGGGAGGTGCCCAGAGGAGCCCAGAGCGGCCTCCGGCACCGTTTCCGGACAGATCCGGGATCCGCTGGATCCGCTGGATCCGGTGACGAATCCCAAACCGGCGCCCTCGCTTGAGACATCCTCACAAAACCGGCCCCGGGGGAGGTGCCCAGAGGAGCCCAGAGCGGCCTCCGGCACCGTTTCCGGACAGATCCGGTGGATCCGGTGACGAATCCCAAACCGGCGCCCTCGCTTGAGACATCCTCACAAAACCGGCCCCGGGGGAGGTGCCCAGAGGAGCCCAGAGCGGCCTCCGGCACCGTTTCCGGACAGATCCGGACAGATCCGGTGGATCCGCGCCCCGGGGGAGGTGCCCAGAGGAGGAATGAGGAGGAGGAGGAGGAGGAGGAGGAGGAGGAGGAGGAGGAGGAGGAGGAGGAGAAGATGATGGAGCTGCGGGGTGGAGGAGGACAGACGGAGGCAAGAGAAGGATGGAGGAGGAGGAGGAGGAGGAGGAGGAGGAGGAGGAGGAGGAGGAGGAACCTCATCCTCACCCTCGCCAACAAGCGCACGCACCTTCTTCTATATACAGAAACTCCCGATCAACCGCAGAGCGGCCGGCTAGTACACTACATGAATACACTTCGCCAAGGCACGATGTTATTATATTCTATATGTGAGTCAGGTGAACTTCCAGAGTGCTACTTGGTAGCTTCGGAGCGTTGCAGATCCAGCCATCCATACCTACATACTTAAAGAAAGCTAGCCCTGTGACC